CTGAATGGACCAGGTTAGTGAGGGAGGGCACAAACCCCCTCATCCTGTGCCCCCAGGCTCACTCAGCTTCTCCCCACAGTGCCCCTGCCCACGCCCTACCATCTGCAGGAGGTGGAGGTCCCCATAGTGGAGGATGCCATGTGTAGGCGGCAATATGGCAAGGTCAATAAGGTCATCAAGGAAGACATGCTGTGTGCTGGGAGCCCAGGCTGGGACTCTTGCCAGGTGAGACCCCCCGTCCTGTCCTCTGTCCATGTCCCCTGCTTGCTGACCCTGCTCCAAACCGTCAGAGGCCCTGATGCTCATCATCTGCTCCTTCCCTCCACAGGGAGACTCTGGGGGCCCCCTGGTCTGTAACTTGAGGGGCAGCTGGTTCCAGGTAGGGGTAGTGAGTTGGGGCCAACGCTGTGGTCTTCAAGGATGCCCTGGAGTCTGTGCCCGAGTGACCTTCTACTCCAAATGGATCCACCACCATATCTCTTCATCTCCTTGAGCTCTAGGCAGGGACAAGGATGTAACTGTCAAGAGCAGACATTGCAGGACCTTTGGAGACCCCCACGTTCTTCCCCATACCCTGCTCTGTGATCCTCCACCCCCTGCCATCTTTCTCCGAGTCCTGCCACTGCCACAACAGCTGACAGGGACAGCAGGGCCAGTGCCCTGCACACTCTGATAACTCCCCAAAGGTGAAGCAGGACTGGAGAAAGGCCCCCTGGACCACAGCCTCCTCCCACTCTCAATAAAACACGTGCACAACAGGCTCTGGCTGAGTGTCATTACCTGTGGCTGTTGCAAATGAAGTCAGTGGGCAAGGCCTTCCTGGTGGGGGCCCAGGTGATGAGAGGTGGGGGCCAGCTACCTGGGACTCCCTCCCAAGCCAAGGATACAGAGGTGGTTCCCTTGGTTGGGGAGGAGGAGTTTTCTGCTTGGCTGGATCCTCGGGGTGGAGTCTTTCCCAGGATTGGCTCATCCAATCCTAGGACTCCGTGCTCCCCCTCCTTCCATCCTTCCTCCCTCTGCGTGTCTGAAACTCTATCCTTCCTCTCATGACACTCATTGTATGCTTGGGACCCAGAGCCTTGACCCAACAGCTCACAAGCATGTGCAAGTGATGCTTCCAGAGACTGGCTGGGCAGGTAACAGCAGGAAGCAGCACCCTTCCTCTCACCACTGCCCTCTGACCTGTGCACTGACCCACAGCCCAATCTGGGCAACATCTAAGCTGAAG